AAAGGGTTTAATTAATTTTTATGATTAATTAACCAATAATCTTTTTTGTTATTGAACTTGAATTGTCCTTATCAAGATTAATCTTTTTAATATGAGAACTAGAGGTGAAATTAAGACATATTTTAATCATTTGTTTTTTCAATAGCGTTTGTAATTTCAAAGGATAGCCGTGTAATTACAAAGCGCATTTAAATTGTGCTTGTTAATCATAACTATACTTGCCGATATGGTTATAATAACCATGTAAGTAGCGTAAACAATAATTGAATAATTGAATTAATTTAATGAGTGAATTAAAATTATGTAATGGTTAACATCCAATTAATATAAAAAATAAGTCTTGAAATATGAACAAATAGCCCAAAGAAATTATTCCAACAACTAGTATTCTCTAATAAATAAAATAAATAAATCAATAAAAAAAATCCTTTTCTTGTTATTAATAATTATCATAGTCACTATACTGCTATAGGTAGGGTATCGAATAGGTAAACAGTTAATAAAAGCTCAATACAGAAAAATATAAAATATTTTCATATTACATGGTTCAGAGACCATACATAGTGTTGTTATTTGTTAAAAGTAAAAAATTAATAAAACTTTTGAAAAAAAGTAAAATTAGTAGAGCAGTTCCGGTCTATATTGAAAGGTCTCTGACGATAACGCGTAAGATCGTGGACGAAACATCGCCGATAAACAAACTGACCCACTTAAAACCCCGAACTTCACACTTCATTATTAACACCTGCGGAAGTTATTATGAATCTCTATAAAGTAAATAGGTTCTAAAACAATCTGAGCAAAGTTAGATTAATTAAAGTACACTTGTACTTACAAAAGATAAACCTTAATTAGATAATGAATTAGGGAATTCAAAAACTTACCTGTGTGGATAAACAGTTTTCAGAAGTTTCACAAAAACTGGAAAGTACTCAATTAAATTTGTGCGCGAATAGTAAGAATCACTGTTTTATTAAAGTAAAACATTTAACGTATCTCTTTGGATTTTAAATGGACCAGGATAATAACATTACGAAGTACCAATGTCCGTGTTTAGTTCTTGGAGCTGGATTTACAAAAGTCGTCGGAGGCGGAGCTCTGTCAGTCTTACAATTAGCTCTAGATTTGCGCAAACCACCGGATCCGCAGACAGTGCTTAATAAAAAATTGACCTTTAATAAAAAACATTTTGATATCAATTTCTTTCTCGTAGGAACTATCGTATTCATCAAATCAAACTATTACTTACAGATATTAAAAAAAGAAAACACAAAAAGATTTTTTTTTTAATATTTACTTAACTCAGTAATTGCTTTCACCTAACCGGTCATTACCGTGAGTACAAAAATGAGTACCTAATTTCTTCTGAACAAGAGTTATCTATCTGTGTACATATGCATATGATGAGCGTAGAAAACTTTTTCTTTTTTCGTATAGTTTATGAATTTCGAAATATTGAAAATCAGAAGTAGAACCAATAATCTAATTTTACCTCAATCTAACCCAAAGCATTTTTTATAATTACAACACTTTGTAAATTAAACGACAACACTAACGAAGTGAACAGTGTATTTTCTTTTGTTTGCAGCAAAGCAGAATAAAATCCTTAGGTTAGATTAGGATTAGGCTAGATTAAAAATGTTTAAGGGGTTTTTGCAATGTTATTATTGCCTGCGTTTGAATTTATAAATATTTTGTAAATTTTATGTCGACATTACGTTGTAAAGGTCAATCAATCAATTTTTATATAAAATATAGCGTATCTACCTACCTATTTTAAATTAGATGTTTTCTGTAAAAATATAAACTTTTTTTAAATTGATACCTTCAGGAATAGACATAAAGCATTAGACATGGAAAACTATGAATACAATCGCTAGTACTAAATAATAAAAAAAGTATTAATAAGTATACATTTATATTTTCAAGTCACTCGAAAACATCTAATGTAGTTATTACCTATTGTAAAAATTTAAACAATCTATAGCGACCTCTGTTAATTGAAAATTTTTAAAATATTTAGAATTTCAATCGTAGACAATAATATTACGAGGAAAAAATAAAATAACAAAAATTCCAATTTTTATCCATTTTACAAATCTTGAGTAAACCNAGCTCAAAACAAAATTTTTTCCGATCTTGAGCCACCCTATTCCATACTATCTAACCGTTCGCATTCTCCTTTAAGATATCAAGCAAAATTAGTGCTAAACTGCTTCTTAGTTTTTAATGTATTTAATATTTTAAGTGACACATTTAATAAAAAACATTGTTATTTGTCATCGAGGCGTCTCGTGACCATATTTCCAAAGTCTATAAATACATATAATCCGAACCAATGATGTGTTCATTCACTCATAACGTGCACATGTTGGAATCAAAATACTTTACTTAAATCAATTAATTATTATTAACATCAATTTAGTTTTGGATTGGTATTTAAATAAAAATTGGTTTCCTTTTCTTTTAAAACTGGCAAAACGTAAAATTAAAGGTAGACTTACCCATATTAATGGCAATTCGTATTATTGCTTTTAATTTATTATTACCTATTTATAAATAGAATGTTATCTTGTTATACCATCTTTAATTACATTATTGGCCATTAGCAATTGAGCATATACAAAACTTTAGCTTTTGTTGCATCACCCTGTATGTTGCGTAAGATGTATAGTTATTTGTTCAAGGTAGTTTATTTATTTATACAGGTGATTATGTTAAAAAGAAAATTTTGGAAATTGTTTTTATTCAGAAACCTTAAAACTCAAAGGCTATCTTTGTGAGATTAATTAATGATATAAATTTAATGAAAGAAGGTATACGTATAGCAGACAATTTAAAAGCGACTAACTAACGCTCAAGCGGATTCTGATGCCCAGTAGTTACATTGTTTTTTCACATCAAAGGAATAGTTTAAGGGTGCTTTAGTGGAATAAATTAGTGGTTTTATTTTCATATTTAGTTCCTAATAAGACCCTCATCTCATAATCCGCCCCTCTTCATCCAATAACAAATACCATGTTACTTGAATTGAAAAGTATAAAAAATTTATAGAATTATTATTCTTCATTAAACTACTTTAATCTTTTATAAAATGCTACATGATCTAATGAATTACAATGACGCAGCTAGGATTTTTTTCTGGATGGTGCCCAAGGAATAAAATATTTTATTTAAAATCGAATTCAGTGTAGAGCCTTTGGAGACAAATCTTTGATTAAAATTTTAATTTTACAATAAATATCTGCGCTCTTTTTTTTGACATAACATCTGCATAGGTAAAACGTGGTCTGGGTCATCATATATATTCAAATTACACGAAATTCCTCTACAGTGACTGTATTAATATTCTTATTCCCTGTGAACGAAATATAAGTTTCTAATCATTCAAATTATTAATCAAAAGAATCGCTGTTAAAAGATTTCGCGGATGTTTGGACACCATCCCTCTACGTCATGGCTACTTAACCTAACCTACAAATAAGTTGAGTGATGAGTGGTGAGAGATTTTATTTAACTGCTCTTGTATGTGTAACACCCCTTTACAAAAATTTTAAATGTTATTTGTCCTAATAAGGTTCGGCTAAATGTTTAGTTAGTAACTTTTGAAGTCAACATTACTCTTAAAACCGCCTAGCCGGAATCGAAAGGAGTGAATTTGTAATGGCTGCGACATATCCATTATAGTATATTCAAACAGGTGTCTATGTATGTATAAAGAAATTCAAGATAAATAAAAATTCAATCCGGTTTGCTCATAAATATCATAATACGGAAGTGTATACCTACCTTAACTAAAAAAATCGCGTATGTAATTATCTTTTTTACGTGTTTTATTGCGTACGTTGTAATAAAAAAGCATTCGTGATAAACACAGCTCCAATTAACAGATTTAAAAGTTTTATGACCGCAAATAAATAAACAATATATACTTTTTTTCTATCAGATTTATTTATTATTCAGAAATTTACAAAAATTGATATCCAACTGGTACAAAATGAGTCATGTTACATTATTCAGTGTTATTAATCTTAATAATATTGATTGTGAGTGTTAAGTAAGTTATAAAAGCACTATCAACATCATCCATCAATTATTCGTTCTTTTCGTACATTTCGTCTCTTGAACTTTTTGTATATCATTTCGATTGTCCATGGCACAATACAAAAAAGAAAACAAACGGTCAACACGTGGAAAACCATCGTAGAACTTTGAGTTTTCGTTCGAACGATACCTTAAAAGAAAAATGGAAAAACCATTTGAAAATAATAACAAAACAAAATAAGAATTGTTTTCGAGAAAACTTTATGACGTACGGTGTGTACTTTTAATACAATTTTACATTTTTGGTATTCTAATTGTACTTATGAATATATGCATGAGGCGTTTGTATATTACAGGGAAAACCCACATTCTTCAGGACATAGACACCTGCAAAAGTCCTTAGAACAAATTTGAATACGCAATAATGCATTTTAATGAATGATTCGTTGTTATAAACCGTGTTAATGTTAATAATGTCCTAGTGTATCTATAAACATTGACATAAAAGTACAAATAAAAGTAATTACATAAAAATTTATAAAAAAATATTATACATATATATAATGTTTGTTTTTTGTTAGATACTGTATATTTAGAGCAAAAGTTGTTTATTTCGAGATTGATTTTATATAAAAAGAGTTATAAAAACATTCAATTACACGCAAAAACTTTATTTATACTATTTTGTACAATGTGATTATTTTTAGAACACGTACACCGATTGGGCTTTGTATTGTCCGAGATACCTGTGTGTACACACGTATCATACTTATGTATCATATCAAATATGATTGACAGTCTCTATAAATGAACATTCAAGTCTATTTATATTATATATTTGCAATTTGTTATTAGGTAACGTTTCTTTGTTGTATTTTGCATAAATTCCTTCTGCAGAAATTTTATGTAAGTGCACATGAAAACTTTACATTTACTATTTATTATGTTTTCCAATTTTCTTAATGTCGATATATTACAACTAGTTATAAACAAAAATTTAGTGGTTATCACATGTCATTAGAATGTATGCAGCAAACTATACATCTGAATGCACATATTTAGACCCGTCAATTTTTTTTCTTTAATTAAAGATTCTGATTAAACGATATATAAAGAGGCCTAGGTTTCTTTATTTAAACGTTTTATTCGTTAGTTAGCTCCAAATGCTATCTCGTTACTATACATGATTATGATTTTTTAAGCATTTTAATTCGCAAATATCTTTTAAGTGGCTTAATGAAGTCGGATGAAATTTTGCAAAATTTTAGTCTCTAAAGAGTTAAATTTACAACAATTGACGCATCTTTTGTCATTTTTTACAATATACAGTCGTTCCGTTCGTTTTGTCTTCCGCTAATTGAGATATTGACAAATATACAGACAAACTTATGCCATAACATTATTATTTATATGATTGCGGAAAATACGTGATTTGCAATAGGATTATGCAAACGTTGTAATAACATTTAATCCATCACCCGTTTTTATTAAGTATACCTAGAATTACGAACCGATGAATTATTTGATTTTAATTAATTTTAGTATCTACTTTACATTGGATAAGGTTCATAAAAATATACAAAACTTTAGCTTTTGTTGCATCACCCTGTATGTTGCGTAAGATGTATAGTTATTTGTTCAAGGTAGTTTATTTATTTATACAGGTGATTATGTTAAAAAGAAAATTTTGGAAATTGTTTTTATTCAGAAACCTTAAAACTCAAAGGCTATCTTTGTGAGATTAATTAATGATATAAATTTAATGAAAGAAGGTATACGTATAGCAGACAATTTAAAAGCGACTAACTAACGCTCAAGCGGATTCTGATGCCCAGTAGTTACATTGTTTTTTCACATCAAAGGAATAGTTTAAGGGTGCTTTAGTGGAATAAATTAGTGGTTTTATTTTCATATTTAGTTCCTAATAAGACCCTCATCTCATAATCCGCCCCTCTTCATCCAATAACAAATACCATGTTACTTGAATTGAAAAGTATAAAAAATTTATAGAATTATTATTCTTCATTAAACTACTTTAATCTTTTATAAAATGCTACATGATCTAATGAATTACAATGACGCAGCTAGGATTTTTTTCTGGATGGTGCCCAAGGAATAAAATATTTTATTTAAAATCGAATTCAGTGTAGAGCCTTTGGAGACAAATCTTTGATTAAAATTTTAATTTTACAATAAATATCTGCGCTCTTTTTTTTGACATAACATCTGCATAGGTAAAACGTGGTCTGGGTCATCATATATATTCAAATTACACGAAATTCCTCTACAGTGACTGTATTAATATTCTTATTCCCTGTGAACGAAATATAAGTTTCTAATCATTCAAATTATTAATCAAAAGAATCGCTGTTAAAAGATTTCGCGGATGTTTGGACACCATCCCTCTACGTCATGGCTACTTAACCTAACCTACAAATAAGTTGAGTGATGAGTGGTGAGAGATTTTATTTAACTGCTCTTGTATGTGTAACACCCCTTTACAAAAATTTTAAATGTTATTTGTCCTAATAAGGTTCGGCTAAATGTTTAGTTAGTAACTTTTGAAGTCAACATTACTCTTAAAACCGCCTAGCCGGAATCGAAAGGAGTGAATTTGTAATGGCTGCGACATATCCATTATAGTATATTCAAACAGGTGTCTATGTATGTATAAAGAAATTCAAGATAAATAAAAATTCAATCCGGTTTGCTCATAAATATCATAATACGGAAGTGTATACCTACCTTAACTAAAAAAATCGCGTATGTAATTATCTTTTTTACGTGTTTTATTGCGTACGTTGTAATAAAAAAGCATTCGTGATAAACACAGCTCCAATTAACAGATTTAAAAGTTTTATGACCGCAAATAAATAAACAATATATACTTTTTTTCTATCAGATTTATTTATTATTCAGAAATTTACAAAAATTGATATCCAACTGGTACAAAATGAGTCATGTTACATTATTCAGTGTTATTAATCTTAATAATATTGATTGTGAGTGTTAAGTAAGTTATAAAAGCACTATCAACATCATCCATCAATTATTCGTTCTTTTCGTACATTTCGTCTCTTGAACTTTTTGTATATCATTTCGATTGTCCATGGCACAATACAAAAAAGAAAACAAACGGTCAACACGTGGAAAACCATCGTAGAACTTTGAGTTTTCGTTCGAACGATACCTTAAAAGAAAAATGGAAAAACCATTTGAAAATAATATCAAAACAAAATAAGAATTGTTTTCGAGAAAACTTTATGACGTACGGTGTGTACTTTTAATACAATTTTACATTTTTGGTATTCTAATTGTACTTATGAATATATGCATGAGGCGTTTGTATATTACAGGGAAAACCCACATTCTTCAGGACATAGACACCTGCAAAAGTCCTTAGAACAAATTTGAATACGCAATAATGCATTTTAATGAATGATTCGTTGTTATAAACCGTGTTAATGTTAATAATGTCCTAGTGTATCTATAAACATTGACATAAAAGTACAAATAAAAGTAATTACATAAAAATTTATAAAAAAATATTATACATATATATAATGTTTGTTTTTTGTTAGATACTGTATATTTAGAGCAAAAGTTGTTTATTTCGAGATTGATTTTATATAAAAAGAGTTATAAAAACATTCAATTACACGCAAAAACTTTATTTATACTATTTTGTACAATGTGATTATTTTTAGAACACGTACACCGATTGGGCTTTGTATTGTCCGAGATACCTGTGTGTACACACGTATCATACTTATGTATCATATCAAATATGATTGACAGTCTCTATAAATGAACATTCAAGTCTATTTATATTATATATTTGCAATTTGTTATTAGGTAACGTTTCTTTGTTGTATTTTGCATAAATTCCTTCTGCAGAAATTTTATGTAAGTGCACATGAAAACTTTACATTTACTATTTATTATGTTTTCCAATTTTCTTAATGTCGATATATTACAACTAGTTATAAACAAAAATTTAGTGGTTATCACATGTCATTAGAATGTATGCAGCAAACTATACATCTGAATGCACATATTTAGACCCGTCAATTTTTTTTCTTTAATTAAAGATTCTGATTAAACGATATATAAAGAGGCCTAGGTTTCTTTATTTAAACGTTTTATTCGTTAGTTAGCTCCAAATGCTATCTCGTTACTATACATGATTATGATTTTTTAAGCATTTTAATTCGCAAATATCTTTTAAGTGGCTTAATGAAGTCGGATGAAATTTTGCAAAATTTTAGTCTCTAAAGAGTTAAATTTACAACAATTGACGCATCTTTTGTCATTTTTTACAATATACAGTCGTTCCGTTCGTTTTGTCTTCCGCTAATTGAGATATTGACAAATATACAGACAAACTTATGCCATAACATTATTATTTATATGATTGCGGAAAATACGTGATTTGCAATAGGATTATGCAAACGTTGTAATAACATTTAATCCATCACCCGTTTTTATTAAGTATACCTAGAATTACGAACCGATGAATTATTTGATTTTAATTAATTTTAGTATCTACTTTACATTGGATAAGGTTCATAAAATATTATCTTTATTATAATTAAAGATTTATCGAGACTTAATTCTTTTGCATACAACTTAACTGCTGAAAAAATATCACAAACATTACTCTTCAAACAGTTGAATCCTTAAAAACTATTCTTCCATGTAACAAAATGACATTTTATGCTTGTCGATAAAATCGATTCAATTTTAGAAGAATATTTTTTTCAAAAATTACTCTTATCAACGCAATCTCCTCTTTCTTTCCATTTTTTTTAATTCTTCCAAGTCAATCACATTTGGATTCATTGCGTACTTATTGAAAAGTCACGCGTAAGGTTTTGTAAATGTCAGGGAGTTTTTTTTTTTTTACTTCCAGGTACAAATACCTATGTAATTTATTCCACAGCTTTAATTAATCATTTAGACATTTGGTACAATTGTTTTTGATACCTGTGGGTGGTTAATTTGTATAAAAAGGTCCGTATTACATTAATTTTAAAACTAGAACAAAAACAGGTTTCCAAGGTTTTCTTAGTTGTCTTTTTTATTATATGGCTGTGACCTAAAGTTTGTAGAACGTCTGTGGTTTTTGCTACCGGTCGAAATAAAAAATTAACTTTAATACTTGGGGAATAAACATATACAATACAATAAAATAATTATGTAATCTTGATTAATGATTTTGATTTAAGAGCTTAATGTGTTTTACTCATTAATGATTTTCTTCAATCACAATATGCTCGCCAGTTTATTATTTGCATAATTAAAAATATTTACAGGATTATAAGAAATTCTTTATGTAAATAAGGTAAATTAAAATATTATTCAATTACGAATACCATTTACTACATACGATATATCAAAAAATACAGCAAATGTTTTGTACATTATTATACAGGGTGGTCCATTTTAATCTCTAATGGTAAATATTTCGAAATGTAACCAACTAATTAAAAAATGGCCTGGGTTCCGGACCTGGTGCCCAACTACAGAATCGCATGATACCTTTAGAACCCAACAACATTAGTAAAAGCCATTTCTTAATTTGGTTACTTGCATGTTGAGAGGATATTGACTATTATAGATTAAATCGGAGCACTCTGTATGTTTTTATTTTAATCTGAACAGGACCGTACCTATAGTTTGATCACATGATACCTTTAGAACCCAATAACATTTGCAAAAACTATTTTCTAATTGGTTATTTGCACGTGGAGAGGATGTTTGCCATTATGGATTAAAGCGGAGCACTCTGTATGTTTTTATTTTAATTTGAGCAGGACCGTACTTATAGTTTAATCACATTATTTCTTTAGAACCCAACAACATTTGCAAAAACCACTTTTTAATTGTTTACTTGCATGTTGGGAGAATATTTGCCATTATAGATTAAAACGGAGCGCTCTGTATGTTTTTATTTTAATTTGAGCAGGACCGTACCTACAATATGTTATGCAATAGTTTTCCGTGGACAGTTTTTTTAAGCCGCATTTTTGACATGTGGAATTTAGTTAATTATGTTGTCGACTATCACTGGTTGATGCATTTATGTTAATAAGTCATGTAAAACTGGTCATTTTTTATTGCAAAGAGCAAATGCATACTTCATACTTCTTTATTTATTTTCCTCCGCGTTTGAAAAACTGGCAGGTAACTTGGAAAATTTTAAAAATCAAGATCACAATTATGCATTAGTTATGCAAAGCAAAAGTTATTTTAACGTTCGGTTTTTTGTTCGGCTATACATATGTGAAGCAGGTTAATCAAGTAATTAATTCACATCACGTATTTTATTGCAACAAAGAAAGAAAGGTTTATAGCATTTAACTGAGGGCAAGCCCAGGTAAACTTGACTAAGGTCGAGGCAGTACTTTGATACGTACAGGACGTTCATTTGTCGATTTTATTATTAAAGTTTTTCATTTTTTCTCAAAATTCATTAGATTGTTGACATAAACAAAAAATTATTTGACTTACCCATTACGGCACCCAAAGTGATCGAAGTAACTCCGGTAACAACCATATAAAAAGACAGGGCACTTGCAAATTTATCTGAATACACTTCTGCAATAACAATAGGCATAGGAGTTTGTATGAGACAGCGTGAAAATCCTAGGATCGCCGTGCTCGTTGTTATCCACCAAAAAGAGTCATATGCTGAAAATGCTGAAAAATTTTAAAAAATTACTTTCAGGAGCAGTAGAGATATAAAACAGAGGATAGCGCAGGGTCGAGTCACCTTCAACAAAAAGAAGTCAGTTCTATGTTTTCGCGAACGGTCAATTTTGAAATTAGAAGAAGATTGTTAAAGATGTATGTTTGGAGCGCGGTGTTGTACGGGTGCGATACATAGACGGTGGGCGCGGCGGAAAAGGAAAGGTTAGAAGCGTTCGAAATGCGGTATTACAGGCGACTAATGAGGATATCGTGGATAGAGAAGGATAAAAATGAAGAGGTATTAGAAAGAATAAGAGAAGTCAATAAGAATTAGGCTACTTAAGTTGGTAGGACACCTTCTCATATTAGAAGTAGAAACAGGAGTTACGAGGAGACCTAGATTAGATTACTTTACCTTCACCTATTACTGCGTTGAAGTCTCCTACAACTGTTAGGTTTTCCTGTCCTTTCACTAAACTTAACACGTTTTCTATATCTGCATAAACCGCCTCTACGTCTTCATCATTGTAAGATGATGTAGGCATGTAGACCTGCACTAATACCGTTTTTACCGGTTTCGAGTTTAATTTGACCATCACTATCCTATCGCTTTTTTGTAAATAGCTTTTTACATTCTTCCCTGTTTTCCTACGCATTACAATTCCTACCCCCGAATTACCTTCCAGCGATCTTGTATGTATTATTCTAAAGTATCCACTCCAGCTTCCGGCCAGCGGACTTCACTAATGCCTACTATATCTAATTCTAGTCTATTAATCTCAACTTTCAAATTTTCCAATTTCCCTACATGCTTCATTGCCCTAATATCCCACTCTCTGACTCGTGAAATATTGCATCTTCCCCTATTGCACTTATTGATGACATCACCCGAGGTAGTACCCGCCCGGACATCCGAATGGGGGACTAGTTTATTTTCGGAGTACTTTACCCCAGAGGACGCATTCATTTAATTTGTGTAGTTGTATGTTTTACTAGATTAGATTACTGTACGCAAATAGTTAAAGATCTGGGACGCTCTGGTTTAAGGGAAATGCGAAGATTAGCTCATGATAGGAAAGATTGGAGGTGCGTGTCCAACCTGTCTTAGGAATGACGACTTTATGACTATGAATTACTTTCAGAAAAAAACTTGGTTTTAATTTTTCGGTTACTTCGGTCACCTAATAAAACCTAAATTAAATATTTTGAAGGGGGCCAGTAAGTCGGAACCTTTCGGAAATTAATTTCTGAAGTAGAACGTTGTGCTACTTACCCAGTCGTATTAGGAATGTAAGAATCGCGTTACAAAGAAATACTTTTCTGCAACTAAACTGGAAAAAGGCTGCCACAATTACGAATATTACTCTCATTACTAGATCAGATGCAAAGTAGACCGTCATCACTACTGTAACGTCCCTTTTGCTAAAACCAATGTCGAATAAAAATAAAGGCAATATTGCCATGAAATTCATTTCGGACATTGTGCAAATTGCAAGACCAAAAGCCATATTGAGATAGAATATGTCTTTCAGAAGGTCCATATCCAAAATCTCACATATGGAAAACCTAAAAGGAAAAAGAATCTTAAGAAATCGGCATAATAGGGTGATTACAAGTAATAAAGTCACTAAGTAAAGTTACATAGTAGTGTGCCTTATGAGTATTGATTCAAAAGTGATGATAATGACTATTAAAAAACAACAGTTATGTTTTTAAATTATTTTCATTTTTCTATGCAGAGCTCTCAAAAATTGCTGCACTCCGGCGATAACATTTTTTTTTAAATATTCCACCGTAATTATTCCCTCAATATCCCAAATTAATGGACAAATCCAGCCGCTAGTAATTACTGACGTGAAGTCTATACAAGTCAGTTCTAATTACGAGGTAATCGAAAGCGATTCAGAAAAACGAAGAAGCGATTCTATAGTGAGCGAGTGATTAATTAATTAAATTGGTGCGAGGTGTTTGATTACGTGATATATGGTGTCAGAAGTAGGGCTGATGAAAAAGTCCGTCGAATATTCTGGAGCATTCCATTGGCTACAAATAAAATCCTAACAAGTCGCTTATCTTTGGAAAGCTCTCAAAAAAAGAAAGATTCTGATGTAATCTAAGAGTTCCATACAATATTCTAGAAGAAGTTACCCCAATAAATCATATATCATTGAAAAGCTCTCAAAGAAAGAAGAACAAATTTGATGCCATCGAAGAATCTCATCAATAAATATGAGAATGAATGAAAAAATAAATGGTATTAGAAACGAGGTGGAAAAGAAAATACAAGAAAGGAAAATCAAGATGGAAAACAAGATTGAGGAGGAAATTAAGTTAGAAAAGCAGACTAGCAAAACGAAAGAATAAATTGAAAAGTTATACTAGTACATCTATAGGATAATGAGAAGACTTCAATGTGGTGGCTTTCGGATTGTGCAACTAAATTCGAAAGAGTGATGGACATCATCATGCTGGGTAAGTCTTCGAGTGACAACTTCGAAACGTGACTGAAGTCTTCAAGAAATTGTCAGCCGCAAAGCCAAGTCCCAAGAAATGCATCCTGTTTTCCAATCCAATTTTAAAAATTCTACATTTGAAGCACGAATTTTGATATATCCACAATTCAGCGATCCAAACATCATTGATGATGACTCTAGTGATGTGGGACTTGGTGGTGTGTTATTCCAAGTCCAAGACGGTAAGGAAAAGGTCATCAAAACATGAACGAAGATGTGGTTAAATCCCTCTAGCATTTCCTCTTAAGAAAAGATCAAGTCTCATTGAAGTAGCAATTCAAGAGCCCTGAAGGGCAGATTACGCCCTGGTTACAGCGACAACAGGAATGTAACTTGGAAAAAACGTTGTTCGTATATTGAAAAAAAGAAGGACTGGAATGGATTTGTTGTCATCTAACCATGGGCACCGTTCAGCCTAAGAGAATCTTAAGACCATTATGGGCAGATATATGCTACCTGAGCTAGACAATAAAGTGTTATCGGGTTCAATGTGTGACCGTATGAAATCCATATAGGATTAAGTAGGTAATGTTAAGGTGAAGAAGTGTAGCGATTCAACAAGATGAAAGGGATGCCCAAAACTATCATTATCTGACGCATCAGCGATGTTATCTATCAATTTCAAAAAAGACCTCGGGCCAAAATGAAGATCATCCGCTCCCTAGAGAGCTACGTCACTTATCTGAACACTCAGTTTTAGGAACCCAACATACGTGAAAAAGCAGCAGGATTGCCCAATGGTGGATTGTCGAGAATGCACCAGTTTAACAAAGAAGAAAGGAATTCTCTAGAACTTACATTCTGGAATACAATCTTTCTAGATTCGACACTATTATATTTAGCGTATTACGCGTAAAATGAATTGCTTACGTATACACAAGACTTATTTAAATAAAATAGAGTTATGGTAGAAATTTGTTGCAATAAAATGAACAGGATAGGAAAGTGTTGTGTTCGCGATATTAGTTGGCTATTGTTTTTTAAAGAAAGTAGGTACATTCCTATTTTAAAAAAATAATTTCAATGAAGATCACATTATTAACATTTATCTTATAATATCTGTTACTAATTGTTCCGAATGGGAGTATACCCCCCCTCTAAATTTCGCATATATGCAGTTCAATATTTGCTTATATTTCTCTCGCTTTGCACACACGGTCAATTACGAAAGGACAACGAGTGTCTACAAAATTACAGATTCTGTGCAAAATTAATATCTACAGATTCTGTCAGCTCTGCTCACTCCAAGGAGTCTCAATTTCAAACTCTACCGTACCGCATAAAAAATTTAACATTAGAAGCAAAAATAGGAATTAAAAGGAGTAGAGGTAAAAGTAGATGTTCGTGTCCAGCCTTAGGACTGACGAGCTTATTATGACGATCGATAAAAATATAATACTTACAGACACCCCCTGTTGTTCTTCTTCTTCGTGCCGATTGCAAATACCATACTTCCGAAACTTGTAACGGAAGTAAGCGATTTCGATAACTTGTTAGACTGTAACGATGACGCTCCACTTTCCTTTAGATCTACAACTTTGTACAATAATTGCTCGCCCTCAGCCGGCCTATATGAAACTTCTCTCGCAGAAATATTTGATACTTCGTCATAAGAAAAATCTAAAAGGGGAAAAGTAAAAAATGATTTTAAAAAGAATTTTAACGATGTAGGTAAAGGTAATCCGGCCGAATTGTGAATAGTTAAATCAATAACTAAACAAAAGTATATAAAACAATCTAATTTATATTTTAATTAGTATCTGTGTGTAATAGACACAGACTAAATACCGGTAATGTTAGTGTACAAAAATTTGATAAAATTAATTAATTAATTTTAAAACTATTTACCATGCGTCAAGAAGAAACATTTGAGTGAACTCGGATTACGCTAATTAAAGCTAAAAAAATTGTTTTTTATTTTATTGTGAAAATTTATCACTAAAAATTATGAAAGATGAATTCGCATAATATTACGTATTCATATATATATATATTTTTAAAAACTATACAGTTGTTAAGCGTTCACTTTTGTTTTACCAAAAATTTGATTAGCTTCATCAGAAGTTTCATATAAACTTCTTTTGCAGTTTGAAACAATTATTAGAAAGTTACAAATAATACAATTTATGGATATATTACATGGCCTTACAACGAATTTCTATCAAGCGAAACAGTAGAGAGAATCAATTATGTATCCTATTCACCATTCTTCCCCTAATATTCAATTAACGAATGAATCAAAACCGACCAGGAATTAAAAGTTTTTTATTTTTCAAAAAAAAAAAAAGCAGCTTACGTTTCGCTCTGAGTTGTAGGTATTAGGGCGAAACTTTGTCTGTTGTTTTTTGAAAAATAAAACACCCTAAGTGATGAGGAAGGAGAGATCAAAATCAAGACTGTCCCAGACTTTGTCTTGGTCTTTTAGAAGCGTTCGAAATGTGATGTTACAGGCGAATGATGAGGATACCGTGGATAGAGAAGGTTAGAAATGAAGAGGTATTAGAAAGAGTAAGAGAACGGAGGACTCTATGGAAGTCAATAAGAAATAGGCGAGATAGGTTGGTAGGACACCTTCTCAGGCATGAAGGTCTAGTCAGAGACATATTAGAGGCAGAAACAGTAGTTAGGAGGGGTAGATGTAGACCTAGATTAGATTACTCTTCGCAAATAGTTAAGGACATGCGTTGCTCTAGTTTAGACCATTGCTTAGCATTCGGGAGGACGCCGGTTCGATTCCGGGTCCGTCTGCCTTGGTCCAAGTTTTTTTTTGTGGTTTCCTTAGATCACTTCAGCAAATGCTGGGGCAGTAATATTCCACAGATAATCCTTTCATTCTCTTCTGTCTTCATTTCGTCCGTCTCATCTTTCTCACCCGAACCACCACCCACCCATTCCCACGATTCCTGAAAGCAGGCTGAAGAGGGCCTTCCGCCCTAACTTCCGGCATAGTCTGAAGGGACTGCCCGCCCACCAGCATTACTGGCTGGTGGGAATGAAACACCCAAAATAAAAAAAAAATCTAGTTTTAGGGAAATGCGAAGATTAACGCAAGATAGGAAGTAGTTTTAGGACTGACGATCTTATGATGATGAGAATTTGGTCTTGGTTTTACATATTCGGTCTTGTTTGTAGCCTTGGTCTTGTTCGTTTGGTCTTGGTTTTACATATTCGGTCTTGTTTGTAGCCTTGGTCTTGTTCGTTTGGTCTTGGTTTTACATATTCGGTCTTGTTTGTAGCCTTGGTCTTGTTCGTTTGGTCTTGGTTTTACATATTCGGTCTTGTTTGTAGCCTTGGTCTTGTTCGTTCGGTCTTGGTTTTAGTCTTGGTCTTGCTCATTCGGTATTGGTCTTACTCTTTCTGGTATGAAGACAGTCTCGGTTATGGTCTTGGATTTACAATTTTCCTCATTACTAAACACTCCTGGTCGGTTTTGATTAATCCATTGAATAGATTAAGTACCTTCATTTATTAATTGTCTTTACCTACCTTTGGGCGTTACTATTTCAACTTTCTTCATGTGCATGCTCACGGGTCGCAGCAAAATAGAGCCTAAAAGTGCGTGCAAACTAATTGCGGCAAATATAGCTTGGGTACCACGAAAACCGTATTCATCCAGTAAAATCCTGGTAAATAAGGGAAAAAATATGTTCACGCAGGTTAAGAACGCTTGTGCCACGCTATTCATCAAGGCGTTCTTCTTTTCAAAATAAGAGTTCACAGCTGATAACGCAGAAGGCATTATCAAACCCACTCCTATGCCTACAATTGTAAAATGAACATGTAAAAATTGCCTAAATTTATGAAAAGGGTTAGTTGTGCTGTTGTGTATAAATGTAATAACGGTCGGATATTAAAACGTGGACGTCAAGTTTTTTCGGTATTATTGTTAGATGAAATGGTAAAAATGCAAAAAATAGGACGTGGTATAGGAAAAAATTGGTACAAATACACGGAGAAAATGAAAAAGGAAAGTTTATTTAAATATTAAAGCGATTTTTACAATTTATCCCACTATCCCGTTGCTTCGTAAGCGAAAATAATAAAAATTACAATTTGGATCCGAATTTGTATCTAAAAATAAAATCCTAGCAGAAATAAATTTACTAGGTATTAGAGTTGATATTACAAATTCATTTGTAATAATTAAGAAACCTGAAATAATTTTTAAAGAAACATGTCAAAATTGAGATTATTGCAAGTTACCTAATAAATTCTACTGTTTCTACTACAAATTCAGTCATTTACAATCGAAAATTGTATTTTTTTTTTGAGTTGTCATAAAAATTTCACATAAATAAAAAAGTAGTGAATCGCTTTGTCTAAACGATTTTGAGAGTTCGGCTAGTTTAGGGTAGTTTTCAGAGAAGTAAGTGATATTTTGAGATAGATGTGGTTGTAACAATGTGTTTATTCCATTAGTTTAACAAATTATGCATTTTCTTATGTTGTATTGACGAAAAAAAAAGTTAATACACGTATTTATACATATATTTATAATGATCTACAATTTGATTTTGACCTTCACCTTGATATTGAAGATTATTTGATGCTCAACTAAAAGGCATATTACGTATCAAAAGTATTGGAATTATTTATGATTGAAGTGAAATGAATTTTTAAAAAATTAACCGATCTATTCATATACATATAATAGTGTCTCCTTAGGAGTTAAGGGTCATTCCTATGTAGGTGATGTCTCTTCGTGTAGATATCCATATATATACTAAACTACAACCAAAATTTTGCACTTTTTCAAAATGCGAAATCAAAAATAGCGGTTTCTATTTTAAAAATTGATGGTCAATGAAGTTTTTAATTGCAAGTTCCCGTCCGGGACCCAATAACATTTGTAGATTTTATTTTTAAATTGATAACTCCCGTAACGAGATATTTTATAATGAGGCGTACTGTATAAATATTATCAGAATTAAAATTTTGTATTTTTGTTTTTGTCTCTTCACATTCATCTTTGTTCATGTGTAACGTTAGTTATATGTTTTTGGAATATAGAAAAAATATTTTTATTTCATTTTCTTGAAATTACTTACCCTGAATGATGCTGTAAGCCAAAATAATGTGATGTAGATCCGTCGCAAAAACAACCCCAAAACTCCCCGCGAAATACAAAAATGATCCGATTACTCCAACTTGCCGATATGAAAATCTTTTCAGCACAAAATGAGANGTGATTATTACAATTGTGATAGGACAATATATTGATATATATTTTTTGAAAAAACAAATAATAAAATTACCTGTGATATGAAGTATTGTTCCAAACAGGGAACTTACGATGGCAGTAGCATACGTTTCGTCAGTAAACGTTGCTAAATAATTTCCGAAAACTAAAGCGAAAGACGAAATGGGCACGATAGTCGATGTCTAAAAGGAAATAACAAAGTTATTAAGGGATTTTATGGAGTAATTAAAAGTTTTGTGTACAATAAAAAGCAATCACCATCATTATGGAGAGAGCGAATGTTACAGCGTAGCCCCATCCACCATCGGGAGGTATCAGTTCATACGTCGCTTTTGATTTGGTCATATTTTGAGATTTGTATTCTGAAAGCAATTAATTCGTTATCCAAACAAAAAGTTCTCTCTTTACGTCCGCATACAAAAGAAATAACGTAATAATTTTTGCATTTTAAGGCGTCATAAGATATAAGTAATATTTAATTTAAATTTACTCGCTATAGTGGCATTTTAGCCTGACATTTTAACTTGCATTTTGATTTTATAATGAATTATGTTTAAAAATTCCACAATGAAACTTCAGACTAGTAAACTTTCTATTTTTAATCATGACAATTATTTCTACGGGAAAAATACGTTGTAACATTTTCGATATGTTTGAAAATAACTGAGACACGGGGGGTGCTCCAAAGGTGATACTTTTTAATTCCACCCCGTATCTCCAAAACACTATTTTTAATAATAAGAGAGAAGCACCGCAAAAGTGGGATGCCCCAAAACATTAACGAAATATATTGATACAGGGGACTTAATGTTACGTGTTTAAAGACGCTAGAATATATTCAGAAAGTTGAAACATCACGAAAAATTAAAAAACCAAAAACATATGCTTAATCATTGTTTGCAGAGAATCCCTCCATATGTTTCTAAATAAACTTATGTAAAAGTCTAATAAGCAGAAACAAGTTATATCGAACCTTTTTTAATTTTTATAGAAACACGTTTGCAATTGTATTTTTTTTTTGCTTCCGTATTCTAATTCCATTTTTTTTGCAAAACTACCAATTTTAAACATGGAGTCCGTAACACGCAAGATTTAATTACATCTTTACCTTTCGTTACTGGTTAAAATGAAAACAAAAGCTTCAAGAACTGATTCAAATTCTCACACAGTTTACTTAAGCGATATTAATAAATGAAGTTAAATAGGTTTGAGAGGAAAAAAGATATTCATTAACTTACCAAATATATAAATTAATTAATAATTAATTGATGGTTCATAAGATAAGCACAACTTTTATAAGTGCCTTAATTGCAACTAGTGCAATCGAAATTATTTCTGGTCCAAGTAGCATCTGTTACAAGAATATGACGCGTAAGCTTTCGGAAAGAGGCAAAAGCAAACTGTTAAAGTGTTGACAATTAGTACCTATGTTTGAAAAACAAAAGAACGCATTTACAAGCCTACTACTCAAGAACTAATAAATGTATAATTTATTCTTGTTTTTCTTCCAGACATGACCATTTAACCGCAAATGCTGCTCATGTGAAAAACGCTACAATACAATATCATAATAAGTGGACAATACACACCGAGATGGCTACAGGTGGAAATAATTATGTAAGTGCACCCTTAATTAAATTAATTATTAATAACACAATAACACGATTGACTTTAAATAAACGACCACCGATACACATGTCAGGTCGGTTTCTTTTCAATTAGAATGGCGATAATCAATCTGGAGGTCAATAATTATTGTTTAATGTGAGTGTCGTATGTACTTTAAGATTTTGATACGTACACATATCAGTCAAGAATAAAGAAAAACTCTTTTAATAATCAGATAATTAAAGATTAACAATAATGTATTAATATTTTTGAAAATACCCCAAATAAGGCGAAAAGTACGATGACTATTTTGAGTAAGTTGTGAATCAATTCAATAGCTTTTGTTTATCGTAATTAATCATCGTACCATTAGTTAATTTTTTCGCAAACCACAGTCAGCATCTTTTGTAAAGACGATGTGTTTGAAATTATTTTTTGGGCTGGCTGTAAATTCCCTAGATTTAGGGAAATTTCCCTGGCAGTACTAGTCAAAAATCGAATATGTTAGTGGACATCTCTTTCCCTCTTACATATTGTTTGCAGAAAGAGGGAGAGAGAGAGAGACTGACGAGGTAGGTCTGTTGAATATATCGCAGAAAAGTTGATAATTGATTAATCAAACAATACAATAATTAGTCCGAAAATGTATCGAAGATTAGTTAGTAATCCTTACACTAATTAGTGTAATTAACATATTTCACCAAGCGATTAGCGACCTCGCTATTTCTACTATTATTAATCTGTATTGTTTCTAAAAATACCTAAATCTACTGTTAATCAAAATGATGAGTGTTTCAAAGATGTTAACTCCTGCTGAATTTAAATTAACCCCCTTTCGAGATGTTTTTCTGTCCAAAGAAGGGTGGCCGACCAAAAAGTTTATTCTATAGCCTCAGCATCTCATATGTTAGTTTTTGATTCGTGTTATTTCTCTATTAATAAAGCAAATGCACAATACTTAAGCTTAAAGTGTATTTATTGTTGAAAATAAAACTTCAGTAAGAACAATCGGAACAGTTGAATACGAAGTTTTGAAAAAATTCATGATCATTTTATTCGATTGCGTGCTTTAACAGAACAATTTGTGGCATTTAGAAACGTTTTCTTGTTATTATCTATAATGTTCTTCAATTATTACAAAAAGATGATGCATCTTAAACAAATTTTGCTCCACAAGACGCCTTCATACACTATAGTTGTACATTTTTTCTTCTTGCAATTTCTTATTTCCTGTTGTTGCAAATTGTTCTATTAAAGCACGTAGTCTAATAAAATGACCGTCGATCGCAGTTCCCTGTTCCGCTTTTCCTTCCTTGTCAACGGCGTCGGTTTAGGTTAGTGCTTTCCTAGTTGGAAGATCTTTCGGAGCTTCATTTGAATTGCTTGTATCCAGGCCTTTTGGTTGGCATGGTTTGCTGCAGTTTCCAGTGTGTACTTGGGGTCAGATGATATGACTGTTTTATTCAATTTTCTTTCCTGACTTAAATCGATTGCTTTGTTGATAGCATAGGCTTCCTAGAGGAAAACAATAAATGTTCTAGGGACTTTATATAGGACGTCAGTATTATCATATATGATCGCAAAGCCTTCTTTTTCTTCTATTAGACATCTATCGATGTGTATGTGCTTGTAATCTTTATATTTGTCAATTAATTCATTGAATAATTTTTTATATACGACGCTGGAAGTTTTTTCTTTGGGAAATGCCTGTGGGTGTATATGGAAGTCAGTCTAAGTGCTTATTCTTCTCAAGGCAAAATTTGGTGTTATTGGCGTTTTACTTTTTCAACTCTTTAAGTCAATGATTGAGGTAATAGGGCATAACGACTGAATTTAGTTTCAGTATTAATCATTTTTGGGATACTTTTACGGATTGGGTTCTTGTTGGGATAAATGTTTAATGCTTGAACTTTATATCTAGAGCAACTCTAAATTTTATGCTTACCATATTTTATTTTTTTTTTATCTTTAATTTCACATGTGCTTAATAATTAGATTTTGTGATCCAGTTTTCATTAATTTTGTATTAAAATTCGCGCCACCTAATCATCCAATTGATGCGACTTAAAGAAAATTAGTGTTGCTGGAAAATAGCATATTAGGCATTAAGGTAATAAAGTAAGGAATTCCCTTTACGGGGTATGTTCTGAAAGTGTGAAAGTACTAAGAAAATTTGCCCCTTCTTAAAGTATTGTTTATCTAGTTTTTTTACACATATTTTATTTACAAATTTTACAATGAACAGACAATATTTTTAACCTGTCATCAATACAATAACTTTTTTATATCGTTTAGCATTCTCATTCACTTTAGATAAAAACATTTTGCTTAACAAAAGTGTTTTACGATTAGCTTAATTTTATTAAGGTTTGCGGTTAATATTAACTAAAACAATGTGGTATTTCCTGATACTAAAGATGTGTGATGCTTGTTTTCGATAGATATTAAAAAAAAAGTATAAAAAAATATAAATTGTTGTAATTAGAACCGCAACATGATATGGTGTAATCCTGTTAAATGTTGCCTTTTCTTACGGATGGCGTATAGGTTTGCGTGTATAAATTGTATAAAAAAACATCTACCTGTACTTTTTTAAGATACAACGGTAAGAACTCATGCATTTGCATAGATTTTCTATCAGCATACACAGGTATGCATGTGTGGTGCAAAGTGACTGGATTGCATAAGCGGAATATGAGTACGAACCTCTATTAAAGGATATTTTTTATTAGAATATCTGTATCGAATTATCGACTTGTTATTAAAAATTGCGAATGCATAATTAATAATAATAATAATTATAATGTATTACGAGGAAGTGTCAAAAAGTTTTCGACCTGATACAGAAAATACTGTTCTTCAAATATACAGGGTGTTTTTTGAAATAAGTAAGAAGCTTGTAGAAAGTCACAGGGCACTATAAAACAAGAAAATCGAATAAATGTTTGTATATCCGAAAGTTCACCTCGCCAAACGATCTCTTCATTTAAAACTAATTAAAACAGGGATGTTTTCATTACTAAATGAAGTTAAAATTGTCTTATTTAAATGAGAATCGGTTACATACCATTCGGCTAAAATTTGACTGTTGAAAATGTAAAAGATTACTTCACAACGTGTTAAATGTAGAAAATGTAAAGAAACTGGTTGAAAATGTATCACATGAAGAGCGTTAACTATGTGCTACTTATGTGGCTTTAAAATTGTTAAATAGATTTTTTTATAATGTATTTTAAAAACGAAATAACTTACCAACTAATAGACTTGAACTAGATCCATCTTGACCTTAAAATTAAATCTGGAATTCGTAAGAATTGGTATTTCAAGACTCTGATTAAACTAAAATGTTCAATTAGAATGTTAAAATGCATTGTTTTACTTAAAAACATCCAAATGTTGCCGATATTTACAGTGTGATTTATATTACTTCAATTCATTTTTGATATTTTTATTTACATATACATATTCCATATTTCAAAAGAGAAAACAATATTGTATGTTTATACATAGAATAATTAGATCCAATGAATTCTTGATAGCTGAAAAAATATTGTTTCTAAGCAAAGGTAGTGTATCACCATCTAGTGGGTATTTGCTACTACTGAAGTATTTCATGCGTTAAACAAAGCATTACTAAGTAATAATCAAATTCTTTAACTGCATTGACTATGTAGCTTACATCCTTATATTACCTTAAAGCGTTTATTAACGTTCGTAAGATAAATTGTAATTTTAACTGCATGACTACATCAAATTGTAGAGTTAAATCAATCACAATTAGAAAGTCTTTACGAAAATGTTTCTACAATTTATTGTGCCAAATTGGAATATAATTATTTTAACGGCTTAACAAATTTAATTATACGTTTCATCTTGTGAATAACTAAAGAACGAAAATTAAACATATAGATATAAAATAAATTACTCAACAAAATTAAATATGTAAAAATGAATGAGAGGACAACAAACATTATCAACGCTTAAATGGAGCACTAATAGTATGAGCTTTTACTTTTAAATGCTCTCTTTACCAAGAACATTCGTTATAAAGATAGAAACACAGGTCAATCTGCATTAATAAGGTCGTATTTTATTATAATGAAAGAAGTTTTTATTTTTATTAGAATATAATGTTCATCACATGGCACAATTCACATAAACTACTGAAACATTAGAATTTCTGCCTATTTTAATTAAATATTTATAATGTATATAATGTTACCTAANCACTTAGAGCGGCCATAAAGTCTTCGAAGCCATCAGGTACATAAATTTTCAACTCGATGTTACAGAATAGCATGGGCAATGACATTGGGAAGTTCGCCTCGGTCCTCAAGGATATATGTCGATAACCCGCTTGCAGTCCATCCAAAGGTAAAATTCGTTGCCCTAAAAGCTTTCCTGTGGGTAAATAAATGTTTGTTATTCTATATTATTATTAAAAATGAAAATACGAACGTACCGTTTTCATCGTATACTCCAAATCTAAGAACCGCTAAATCGGGAAGTACTACTTTTCGGAAAAGGAATGGCTCTTCGTTGTAAACTGGGTTTAGACCGTTTGCAGGGACCATTCGGGTCTTAAATACTTCGATAATACTAAATGGAAAATAGATTAAGTACACGATTACACAATTTAGATGATAGTTTAATTGAATTGAATTAATGAAAATATTGCACATAAACATTACTATTCAGATTACATTAACGTAATAACATACTACGATATTATTTTTAATATTTTAGCTAAAGTACGAATATTCAAATAGAATTCAAACTATTTCCTGAATATATTCGAATTAGAAAAACGATTATAACAAAATGATTTTCAAAGGCCTTTATTAGGTAAGTATGGACGGACTACCCCCTAAAGCAATGACCATAACGCTTTAAAAAGTCGAAAAGTGAGATTCTACTTCTGACTTATCGTAACCAGTCAGTTTATAAATAACAATCAGTCGTAAGTTAGACAAAAAAAAACATGAAATTTACCACTGCAAATTGTCCAAATGTCCAAACTTGCCTGACTATGGCCTTTAAAAAAATAATGTTAGAACATTATTAGGATACGTCAAATAGGAATGCACCACTTGGTGGAAAAATTTGTAACAGGAATAAGGGCAAATTTACTAAAATTCATAACATCTGAAGGTTCACTCTCAGATTTGTTTAAAAAAATGAAATTACTTTTTCTAGGGTTTGTATCAGCCCAATCACATATTAGGCCAACACTAACCATTTTACTTCAATACAAAAAGCCCGTGATTATACGGTACACTATAAGGGCTATGAAAAACTTTCCCTCAACAGTGCCGTGTTTTTAAGCTCCTCCCATTTGACTGATCCCAATACATAAGGAAGACAATCAATTTCGTATTTTTCTATTGTTTTCAACAGCTAATTAGATTCCAATAACAGGTAAACTTGTCAAACAACTATTAAAAACTCAGATCAACCGTCAGTACTATATCTGCTTATATTTATAGCGAATGTGTGAAGGGTATAAACTACAGAAAATTTCCAGTTTCCAAAATAAAATATTTTTTAATGATTATGTAAATGAAGAAGCTGAACATTATTTTTTTAATGTGTGATTACATACATAAAAAAATTATATTTCAATTATAATTCCTTTTTAATAATATATTTTTCAACGATATATATTATTCTTATTGAAATGGAATGAATTGTATACTTAAATGAAAAAACAATAGCGTATTTTTGGTAAAATATTGTTTTTTGTTTAACGTAAATACTAATTAAATCGTGTTAAATTTTATAAAAAGTAATAATGACTACACACATGTAAAACGATTTTGTCATTGCTTCTTCTTGGTATGTAAAAATACAAATAAATTTGAAAATATAAAAATTACAATATGACTCACTTGAAAGAACTAAAATTTAATAATTCATTAAGATTTTTTCTAAACTAAATTTTCAAATGAAGTCATATTTTAGATTGAACAAAAACCGATCTATCTCACTCACATACCCCATTAACAACTTGGTCTAAATGCAACAATTCTTCTTTGTTTTCATTTGTCTTTCTAAACAAAGAATTCCTTTTTGGTTGACATGTCATATTCTAATTCTTCGTTCTTATACATCTCAATCATTTTCTGAATATCATGAGACAACATTTCCAACTGCTTATCATGTTTGATTTTCAATTTCTCCTTTTCCTTTGCTTGCTTTATAGTGGCAGTTTTCCTTTCATCCAAAAATTTCTTGGTATTGTTCTGTTGTTTCTCTCTTAAACGTCTGTCTTTTTCCTGTTTTGTCTTCAACGTTTTATCGTTTGCGATCTGAAATGGATCAAAAAGTGTAGTAGTAAAATATAATAAGTTTAAAATTAGAATGTTTACTTCTTTGGCAGTTTCCACGGAAATTTTGGCTTGTCTTGTGTTCATCTCTTTCAGTTCTTTTTCGTGTTTGGCTTCCAACTGTTTCATCTGTCCAGCTTGTAAGAGTTCCATGTGCTTTCTCAAAAGATCCTTCTGTTCTTCAAGCTGATTCCTCAAGTACTCCCACTCCTGCTTACGATGCCTCTCCATAAGCTCACTCCACTGAGCCGTTTGTTCTTCTACCAATTTTCTCACAGCCTGGTCATTTACTAGATCGTCTTTACTAAAAAGAATTAAAATAAAAATAAATAGTATCAATTAGTTATAATACAGGGACAGTACTTTTTGCCCTTAATAAGCTTTTCGATTGCAGTGCATTGGGCTTTTTGAACAGCAAGTTTTTCTTTCATTTGTTTTTTCTTCATGCTATCAAATTCTTTTTGTTGTTTCTTCGTGCTCTTTTGGAAGCCTTTGTCTTGTCTGATGTATTCGATTGTAATGGGTTCAAAAACAAGCGGCTCTAAAAAAATCAACAACATTTACAACATACACATATAAAGCTATTTATACTTCACCTTCTTTCTTCTCTTCCTTTTTATCGTCCTTATGGCCTCCTTTATCGGTAACCTCTATGCCCATCGAAGACATCTGTTCACTTTGTTTTTGTTGGGCTCCAATGAAGCCTCTTGGGTCACTTAGAGCGGCCATAAAGTCTTCGAAGCCATCAGGTACATAAATTTTCAACTCGATGTTACAGAATAGCATGGGCAATGACATTGGGAAGTTCGCCTCGGTCCTCAAGGATATATGTCGATAACCCGCTTGCAGTCCATCCAAAGGTAAAATTCGTTGCCCTAAAAGCTTTCCTGTGGGTAAATAAATGTTTGTTATTCTATATTATTATTAAAAATGAAAATACGAACGTACCGTTTTCATCGTATACTCCAAATCTAAGAACCGCTAAATCGGGAAGTACTACTTTTCGGAAAAGGAATGGCTCTTCGTTGTAAACTGGGTTTAGACCGTTTGCAGGGACCATTCGGGTCTTAAATTCTTTTCTAATAGTATCAGTTGGCAAGCCATACATGTCAACCTCTACATAGGTCCCTACCTAAAGGCATAAATGTTTAATTAGCAGGTGTAATGAATTAGGAAATATCCTACGTACTTTTTTGTCAGACAAGAATTGACCTGAAATAACTTGGACAGCGCATTGCGCGGCTATGACACCATCAACCGGACTTTCGGCGAAAGGATCGAAAATACGGTCGTGTCTTCTCATAAAGTCAGGTTTAAGTAAGTAGCCACAGTTACCGTTGTACTCAAATTTTCCTTGGTTAAGTTGCATGGGAAGATCGGACGTTTGAAAATTGAGGGAGACCATTTGGCAACCAGCGTTCCAAAAGACCTTAAAAAAAAAAGGAAATCAAAACATGAGAAAAAGCAATTCAAAATATCATATCTACCTGAGGCATATAGTTCGAAGAATTGGCACGCGTACCGCTGGGATAAATTCGTGACATTTGTCTTTTGTTGTAGTTGACGAATTCAATCGCAGACGTTTTTAGGTAATTCAGACCAACGGGTTCCGAGAAGCTCGACATGTTATGGTGAATGTTCTTTTCTGTGTACAAAGATATCAAATGTGCAATACAAATTAAACATGTGATAAACAACAAATATGAAACTGCGCATACTTTCAGCAACTTCCCAACTCTGAAATTTGACTGGTTGAGCATAGTTGATCATAGAACTCAACCAAGGGTGCACATTGGTCGTTGAACCTGTATATTGAATAGGGGCCGCTTCACCTCCGGCTCCATCTGCTGGGACAGCATCTGGAGGCGGTGCCTAAAAATATAAGGAATAACAAATCAATCCATTATAATTAAATAATTCTACTGTACAGAAATTACTTTCTATGACAGTAAAGATAAACGTTTGGCACGACCCTTCTACATCAATATTATTTAAATTTATTCAGAAAAAAGACTATCAAATTGATGTCCATTAAATTTGTAAACCTGAAAATGATTAAGAAATACTTCTTTATTAAACTGAATACTTAGTACTTGGAACTGCTAATTATACAGTTTTAATATTTTCAATGTTAAGAGCTTAATAATTTCTAGGGTTCTGTACTTCAAAAAAAGGAGCTTTTATAGAATTACCGTACCTCAGCTATATATAATGACAATGAAAACTTCCAATTTCTTTAATCCACTAGACTTTCAAATATCTTTTTGTAAACTTACATCTGCTGGAACGTCTGGAATGGCACTCATCTTGTCAGGGGCAGGAGCTGGTGCGCTGGCATCTTCCTTCTCCTCATCTTCTATGACAAACTGCCCCTGTCTAAATAGTTCCAGTTCCTGCTTTTCTACTTCCGGTTTCAATCTAATCAGAAAAGAACATTAAGTGCCCTGTTTTTCAAGAATTAACAAATAGTGACATTAACCTCTTATTTTTTATCATTATTTTCCTTTTTAACAAACACGGTGGAGGAAGAGGGGCTCCAGGCTCCAAAGGATAATCCGGAAGAGGCTCCTTGAGAAGGAGATCACCTGAAAATAAACTCTTTTAACAACGAAATCGAAAAATTAGTTAAATACTTACCAAAAATTTCATCGCAGTACTTTGCAAGTTTGTACTGTTGCGCTTTGCAACAGTGATTTTCGAAAGATAATATTACCGGATAATCAGAAGTAACGAAGGCTGTGTCCCGAATAGCGTAAATAACATCCTTAAAAAGAATATCGGTACACATGGCTTTCCCGTGGGTTATTATAGGCTCTTCGTCTTCGCCCTTCCCTACACAATTAATGTTTAACAAAAAATATTTATTTTTATCTACTTAGTTACCATCCCAACAGTCCAATTCGACACATCTGCACCCTGCCAATAAAACTTGTCTGTACATTTCAACCGAAGATTTCCCGCCAAATTGTCGACCGGACAAGTACGTGTTATGACTAGAATTGATATAGTAGGCACACAGGGGTTGATCCATTTCCATATAAATATCCAATCGATCGAGAAATACAGGCGCGTTTTCGTCAGACATTAGGTATCTGAAAAAAAGTTAATAAAATTTTTCTTTCTAAGATTTTTTTCTTTACTTATGTATGAAACCTTCTTTGGTGCCTCATTTCGTACCTTATAAGTCCATCCTTTGTTAATCGATTTTCCTTCCGGTAAGCCTCATCCTGCTCATAAGTTTCAATAATTTCCGCTGCTCTTTTTTCATCATACAGCGGGTACAAAATTTCGTTAAGTCTTGGATCACGTTGCTTTTCGTTGAGAAAGTTGATGAATTGCTCTACACCAATGTAGTCTGCTTTTCCCTGGGTACTAAAATCAATTCAAATAATTCCACCATATATAATATACAGACAAATTTTGATTAATAGAACCAAATTGATTGTGTATAGCATCAAATACAAGAAATGTGTAATTTTTACTTGTCAACTCAAATTTTTATTACTCGAAAATAATATTTTCCGCCAACTTCCATAAGTTGAATTTTTTGGGGGAGTCACTTAATAAATATTAGCAGTGGTTTTTACATAATAAAGAGCTTTTGCCCCATTTTGGACTTGATTATTTATGTCTATTCACTCAACAAGAGGAATAATGGAAAACATAATATCAAATAACAACAGTCATTCCAATTTTAATTAAAAAAAAGATGCACTTACATTGTTCTAAACAATTCTTCGATGTCGTTCCGTGGACAAATCTTATGATACAGGGCATAAAATTTGTCAAAAGTGAATTGGTCCTTCTCAATGGAGTCATTTTTACCATTTGGAAGTCCTAATTCTGACAGGTACTGGTACACTAACTTTTCCGTTTTCCCAGAGGCAAATGTTTTGGCAATTACTTTCACTGGTACCTTACCTTTTGAATCTACCAAAAATCCCAGTCGCATCCAACTTAAAAAAACAAAGAGGTATTTAATCGATTCAAAATGCGAAATATACCCAAACAGATACCCACAAGCACATTTAATGCAATATATATTAATGATGTGTTTTCCTGTATACATAAAATATATCTTTAATAAAACAAATTAATTATTTGAAAAAAAGAAACATGGAGTGTAGTTATTAAAACAACCATTACCAATATAGCTACTGCGGTTTCTAAATCATAAGTACTATTTACTACACATTCTAATTGATGTAATTTATACACAAAGGTTTTATTTAAGATATCAACCGATAATGTGGATTTTATGTGTAGCAATGTATCTACATCCAGTAAAATTTTTAGGCCTTTACAAACGATTTACTTTACTTTTGAATTGTTCCAGAGTTAATAAAAACGTTTCTAGCAAAGTTATTTCTCATGAAGACTTACTGTTTCATTAAAGCGGTGCGTGGACAGACATTGTTTATTTTGTTGTTATGTGTAATTTTGCGTAAACCTTCCTGCCAAGTCTGAAGAAACATGCAAAGCACAACAATAAATGTACTATCAAACACCTATTAATGACTCATTAGTATTCTAAATACAGTCAAACAAAATAAAGTAGAACTTCTATAACTGGAAATCTTTTCTAAATCAGATATTTTTTGTTTCCTTGACGTACATACCGTTTTATATTTATTTTAAACTCTCTAAACTGGAATTTCTACTAATATAGACCCAAAAAAGTAATGTGATGCCTTTCAAACAAACACTGAATTGATTGCACGTAGAAGGATTAAGTTAGTGTTTGACTGTATTTGCAAGTTTATTAGTTGGAATGTATAGTATAAAAAGTTTGTTAATAACACAGAATGAGTGAAGAGTCACTAGAAAGTAATTATTAGTAAAGTAACCCCCTACAACTATAGATAGCATTTGTGGAATACAGGAAGTTGTACATTTGAATGTAGATGAAAACTCTTTTATTGATATAGACACATTATATTTAAAAACAATTTGAGAAACATAAAGATAATTATTGAAGATAAAATTAAATGAAGAACGAAATCTCTTTTAAGAATATAGTACATATTTACATTTAATGTTACACTGAAAACTGTCTGGTTAGTGACACACAAAATTTTGCATGCTATTAATTAACACAATTAACTTACTGTTTTTTTAAACAAGTCATAGGACACACATTATTGGCTTTCACATTGTGAGTGATTTTTCGTAAGCCATCCAACCAATCCTTCAATCAATACATTTTTTATTTAAGTAAGTTATGAAAATGTAAAATAGAAATTTTGTTTTCAAGAATTTCTTCTGAACTAATATACAAAATTATAGACTAACAGATCCATCTTTTCTAATGGGCTAATTCATTAAATTATTAAGCTTTATATTTTTTTAATATGTTAATAATAACATACCTTTGCTGTTTGAGCATCAGGGCAAACCACATGCTGGTAATTAATATTTATATAATCTGTGCCACTACAAATGGTAAGTGATTTTTCTTCTAAATCACTTCCATGTTTTTGAAGATTACTAAGCAATTTTTTATCTGACGGAACACCTCCTGCTCTTATATCACTCACTTGACACAGCTCAATAACATCTCCCTCCTGAAATAAAAGAATTACTTGCTTGTTAATCAAGTTCAATGTTTAAAATCAATATTGTTTACCTTTCCATCACTCTTCCAATATATAAAAAAACCATATTCATCAACTTTAAAAAGGGCATTTGATTCATACTCAGTGTTATCTTTGTCTTCATACCATCTATCAAAAACACAGCCATTCAAAAGTGGTTCCGGGACAGGAATACGCCAATCAAACTCGAATTTTTTAGTCATTTTTTCCTGAAATAAGAACAATTAGCAACTACTAAAAAAATATTATCATTTCGTACTTATTATACACTTTTTATCATAGTGAAAATGTTTCCATCTTCGATTCACAACATTTTTCACTCACATTTAAAGTTAATTAATGGTAAAATTCTACACAAATTATTAAAAAAATAATGTATGCTACAAATTATGACATTTCACGGAATTATTATTATTTATTGACTTATCTATGTTTATTGACATTTAGATACATTTTGATAAAAAATAGACTTGTAAACGTAAGTGTGTGTAGCTGTTGCTCCATAATAAGTAATGTTCGTTTATTTGACCCATAAATGAAGTTAAGTAATTAACAGACGGTCATTTTTAAATAATTTAACTGAACCACTAAAATTTCCGTAAAATCTAAACTTTTCGAAGTAAATTAAATAACAAGTATGTAGTTTATTGTCAGTTGTTTGGAATTAATGAAAAGTATGGTTCAGTAAAAGATGGTATAGGTATGAATGCATCTTTCAATTGCCTAAAATCTTTTACTCTCAATGGAAGCGAAAAGAAATTTTCAAAAACTTTAAAGTATATTTTTGTAATCAAATGAAATCAAATAACGTTTTTATATTAATATAAAGTATTGTCACTACATAAAAAGTTATTTACAATTTTTCATAATTTTTAATTCAGTAGGATACATAATCGATCAAAATTTTTAATTTTTATTTTTATGAAGAAAATACTATTAAACTAATTACTGCTTGTTGTTCATGATAATTGCAAATAGTTAAAAACAAATTTTAAAATTTCTTACCTATAAAATAGCATTTACTATAGAAAGAAGTTACAATTAGTATTTGTTTCACATTTCAAGCTGAAGTTAGACTGAATAATCATAAGTCTTCTTTATACCTATTAACTTAAGTGGATTTAAATGCCACACTAGGTTTTTAATCGTATTAGTAATAAAATCGATAAATATCACACGTTTATAAGAATGTTATTTTAGAATATTTAATTATAGATAACCATCAGGTACCCTATTAACGATTAGATAACACACACAACTCGTGGGTATTGTTGGTTGCTTAACGCTGTTGTATTATTTTAATTTTTTATTAATTAGTTATTAATTACTTAAGAATTTTGACCAAGATATTATTTAAATGAAAAAAGTCTATTCATCAAAATACTTTTTTCTAATACTTTTAATTTGTTCCATCGAAGAGCTCTGATTCATTCTAATTATACAATTAAATAGAGAAAAAGTTTTTCCTTTCCGAGGGCCAAATTTTAAAATTTGGAAAAAAAAATTTAATGCAATTTTTTGTCAAAATGTTTAAAAAATTAATAGCTTATTAAAGTTAGGGTAATTTTATATTCGAGGAGGACATGCAAGGGCAATTTGTTAACCGTAAGTCATCTTAATTAAAAAGTCGATTTAAATAAAATAACAATTTTGCGCTGCTAACTTTACCTTACGAAAAAAATATCTTTGAATCTGTTGAGCACTGATACGAGTACTTTTTATCAATACGTACT